CTCCTAACAGGGGTCCGAGCGTCTGTCAACTTGAAATCCTTGGAACGGGAAATGGGAATCATGGGATGGTATTTACAGGGGGACCCGGTTGTCACATCTCTGACGACCAAATCGCATCTCAGGATCTTGTTCCCTGTTAAAAGTCGCCTACGACCCCCCCTACCACCCTGTCAACTGTCAAGCCTCTGTGTCCCTTGTTCTTGTTAATTCACTTGTTATTGACTTACCCAGATTTACTTAACGCCGCCCCGGCCCCGCGCCAAAGTGAACCCCCTGTACCTTTCGACCCCCAAAAGCCAAGCCTCCGGTTGCGACCAAGATCGTTGCTACTGTACATTACAATACAGTACTAAGTAGTATTCTCCCGTCGAGTTCGCGAAGGTAGGGGTTCTTCGTCCGTGTGCAAGGTCTGAAGTCCGAGGTTCCACCAGTGAGCGTGAGGTTCAAGGAGAATAGTTGCTCTTATACCCTTGGCATTTTATTCACGGCTTGCATATTGAGCAGATATAGCCAAGTACCTAGCTCAGTATCTAACGTTAGGCTAGATATCTTAAATATTACTTGCATATGACTAGGGATATACAGATATATAATGGTACGCATTTATTTATCTACATATATATACCTAGACACTATCACACATTTTTATGTATGGGGGGGTCCCAGTCCTAACACGTGTGGATCAGAGAAAAAAACGGGCATGTCAATCCAGAATGACGGGGTGCCTGAACCAAACCGAAAACATGCCATTTCTGGGTGCGATCCCTGCCTTAAGCATTAGCGTCAGAACGATCCACCAAATCAATCATTCGCGGGCCGTTCACCCCAATCCCCTTACTCGGTAGGGGTAATAGGTTCTTTTTCAAGCTCCGGGGGGGGCAACAAGGCACAACAACTTATTTCGTTTGTTAAGATACGAGAGCACATGCCAACTAGTGACTCGCGCGGAATGAGCCGAGTACCTTACATCCCCCCATTAAGCGAATGAGGCTCACTTTAGGATCGTAAGATATTAGTATGTAATAAGTAAGGTCGGATATCCAGGGGGGTGTTTATCTTACGCACGAAGAGGAAAGAAAAAAAAAACATTAAAAAAAAGGGGGAAATACTATTATGAAATTTCTCACTTACTATGTAATCGACAGCGATAACTACCGAGATAGGTAGGTACGGCTTTAAGTGAAAGATGACCTATCAAACGCACACGCCGCGCGTCTTCCTGTAACGGCGTGGCTTCTTGACCTGTTTGGGTATGTTGCCCGTAGGGCTGTCGCGGGACCAGGGGAAGCCAGCTTGCCGTTGCTATCAATTTGAGACAAAGAGCCTCTCTCTCTCTGTGTCTCTCTCAGCGACTACCGCAGGCCGGTGAAGGGCTTACCGCAGAGCTTTTAAATGAGAACGAAAGCCGCACGGTTGCTGCTAATTTCGGGATGTCTAAGCTCAAGCGTTATGCAGTGGAGGTGTCAGAACCTACAGACACCGATGAAGAAGAATAATAAAAAGGTGATGGGAAAGCGGTCTAGGGGGGGGAAGGGCCCAACGAGCCGCGGGAGGCTCAATCCTTCATTGGATCCCCGGTGCAGCGCGGAGAGAACCCGTCAAACGCCATCTCAACCTGCCAAGGCTTCAGGTCGGAAGATTACCGCCACAGCAAAGAGGTGAGGTGTCTGTCGTATATTCTTTTTTTTTTCTTTTTTTTTTCTTTTTTTTAATTATCTAGAGGTCGAGGTTTTTGAAACGGCTCGACCTGCCAGCGTTGCAGGGTCGCGCATGCAAGATCCTGGGGTCACCAGCCACTCATTCATCGGAACCAGGGAACGCCGAGTGTGTAAAGGAGGCAAGCTATTCGCCCCGTCCGTCAAAGTTCTCAATCGGCGAGCGGGCTTGGTGGTACGGAATGGTCTGCTCAGCAAGAGTTTGCGCGCGCGGGCTACAGCAAAGTGACGAGACAAGTCGTTGTTTGGCGACCCGCCCCCGTCTTGAGTTGCTATTCCACACGCTGGCGAGCCGCCTCCGAGTGGAACTTTGTGGGTAGTAATGGGGGGAGGTCCTAGTATTTTGAACGGCTCGAGGCGATTTGGACCTTCGCCCGTTCACCAATGACGCACTGAACCGACGGTTTCTAGAATTTTGACATCTGCGGGACGGGAAGGGACATGCTTACGCCACCACTTCGTGACTAAGAGCTGATGCGTGGAGACTGGCCAGAAGTTTGGGATATAGTACGCGTAGTAGGTAGAAATATGTATGGTAGCATGCAGCATGCACATGTGGCTGACGAATACGTCTGTATTGTTTTCTAGCCTGTCGTAATCATTGGTAATGCGGAGCTTAGTTGGTGATGGAGACTGGCGGGAAAGTCGGGCTCTGCTTAGTACAGGCCTAAACCCTTAGGCCTTACGATATGCATACGTTTTTACCGGCTGTAGTTATACCTCAGCCCAAGAGAAATAACTACCTAAGTTTAGGTCACGAGTTTAGCTAACTGCTACTGTAGCAATGAGAAAGACACATGGAGAAGACCCTGAGATTGGGACTTGCATATGCACGAGGAGCGTAAGAAGACGCCAAATCATATGATGCTTATTCTTACGCTCTCATACTCCAACGTATATCCGAGAATAAGCAAGTGTTAAACAGCCCATTACTACGGCATCTGGGACTATGTAAACGTCATCGAGATATCATCAATAAATGTAGGCATACCCTCCCAGTGAAACCTCTTCGTTCTTGGGGTGTTCGTGCTTCTTGTCTATAACTTGTTTTGGTGCGATCCAAGGTCCAATGATATACTAGAATCAGCTAATAACTTTTTTTTTTTTCTCTCGGAGTAGACTGCGGCCACAATCAAGACCCGAGATTGGAGTGCAATCCCCTCCTACGACACGGTGATCATCGCCATGTCAGTAACGTCTCTCCGGGCCTATGGCAGGATAAAGCGCTTGGTTTGTAGACGATATCACGTTGACAGTTGCTTTAGTCTCCAACTGCTGCAACTTAAGGTTGTGCTCGATAAACACAGGCTTGCTAATACATGAGCTTTTTTTAGAGTGACTACCTAGGTATGTACTGAGAGGTGGCTAGCTGTACGGGAATAGCACAGCAGATTAGACTAAGAGTCATGTTGTAGATAATACTTTAGAGTTGGACGAGAACACGGAATATTGGCTAGGCACTTAGCTATACCACGGCAAGAGATCGGATAAAGTTTACGGTCTTAAGCCTTAGACAGCGATGGAGATAGCTTATGTATGATTTATCAATTATATCAAATTTGAGATTATATAGAATAAGATGATGTTTCTATGAACGCACTAGGTACAGATATCGCAAGTCTATGTAACCATAACACGACTTTTATCAACCTTTAATTTAATTAATTCGATAGTATTATTTATTTCTCGATTTATACTCAAGTCCTCTAGTGGAAGTGTCAAGCGATGGTCAAGGAGTTGTAGGTAAATTCGAGAGACACACAAGTCTTTCTTGATTCGTTTACATTTTCCAATTTTTCTGTTTAGACAATAAAAGAATTGGATGATACAGAGGTTTAACTATACTGGAAGTACTGTTTATTTAGTATCTAAAGGTTTGTATATTTCATACTAGGACAAGAGGAAGTCTGGTGCTCGTAATTGTTTTAGGGGTAGATGATTTGCAGGGCCTCCAATAATATTCTAGACAGAAAATCAAAAACAAAATTAGAGAAAAAAAATACTATGATATATATATGCTTGGACAAAAGAGATTTGCGAGGGAAGTTATTCACCAATTAATTACCTAGCCGACTAGCCCTAGTGTATCAAGTAGCCTATAAGTATCTAGACTTGGTCAACCACAACTCAGCACACAGGTCTTGTGCAACTGAAAGTCCGAAGTGATGATGGTAAATATGATGAATATGCCTTGAGCTCCCTCTACTTTCAACTTTGCGAGGCTCCTATACTTAGTGTCCCAAGCTCTCGCCCGAAGGACAGGAATATGGCCCGACACTTCGAGCTTCGTCAAGTTGGGAGGCTCTCTGTAATATCGATGGAGGTACTACAATGTCGACATTCCCTATCACGGTACAGACCCGTAAATCCCTCGGTGGGTCACTGCCGTGTATACAAAGCAGTCAGATAGGGGGCTCTTCATCATTCCCTCTTTTCTTCCTTTGCGCAATAAAAATCATCTTTACCAAATCCTGACATTCACCTTCTTCGCAACACGAAGCATCCATTCTACTACGGCGGTAGTGCAAGGATCTTATTTAGCGGTATTCAATTCATAACGAGTATATAAGGTGCTATCTTGTTTCGTGGAGGGGAGGGATATCATCCTCTCTTAGATAATAAGCACATCGAATAGGGGCAACGGGAATGCACAATTTTCGAATAGGAAAATACCATCAAGCGCTTTTAAGATCCATACATCGTAGCTATAAAGTCATCAAAGTCCACGGGCTTTAACCTATGCCCTTTTATTTAGTCAGTAGAGCCTGACAGTCTCTACTACTATACGGCTGCATTATCGAAGAGGATAGAATCACTAATAATTCTTTGGGTAGGTAGGTATGGAAGGCACATTTAAGCAATACCGAGCTAGCTTTAAGTACCTATATAGATTAGTCCTCATTAACTAAGTTGTAAGCACCTAATATATAAATGTGCATGCATCAACAGTGGACAAATAATAGTTTGGTATATCTACCGAAAAAGGGGCATGTCGAGTCTATGCAAGCAGTAGAAATTACATAAAACCAGCAATGCAGCACCCCATATGGCCGATACTAAGTGGATGCCATCCATATAAAGCATGAATGTCCCAGGGAGTATCACCTTTAAGTTAGAGACTTCGAACTGGTTTCGTAACCCGGGTGCCGGTCAGTTCGTTAACCCACAATCTGATGAACGGACAGCTGTCTGCTGCCATAGCAACAGGCGCCTACCAACAACCCCGCGAACCAAAGCAGATAATCCCCAATAACAAGAGCAAACTTCACAGTGAGATAGAAAAAAGGGCTGGTGGTGTAATGGTGCACACTCCATCCTATTCCTCGCCCCGGGATGGCCAGTTGCCTGGCCTACCCGGCGGACAGACAAACCTCATGGGGAGGAATGGGTTCGAATCCCATCCGGTCCAAAATCAGTTCTTTTTACTTTCCATTCTTTTTTTTTTAAAAAAAAAGTTTAGGGTCCAACAATATTACTGATGTTGTTGCTATGTAATTCAGATATGCGTATATGTGCAGACACATCCATCCCCCCTCTCCCCCCTTCTTGATTAAAATGAAGTGGATTATTCACCAGACAATATCTGATAACTCAACCAAATCATATCAACTACCTCACATAACACAGCGAAATAAAGACAGCGATAGGTTACTGTTAAATGAAGCATTAGAGCTAAGGTAAACGCAAACGTGCCTTGATTAGAGGTTAGTGGTATGTATGCCTTGTCATACGATGAACCCCTTGGAGTGCCCGAGTAGGTCTATAGTTGCTCATTAATCCCAGGTGCGCCAAAATCGACCAGAGCATTATCAAGAAGAATATTCCGCTTTGTAGCGACATAAGGTACATAATCCATAGCAGGTACCTAAAATATCTCAAACCTATAACAATAGGTTCGTTATTGAAATACAATACAACGTTTAGAAATTAATAAGTATCCAACGTGGTATGACATATCAGGGAATCGGCGCTGCTATAATATCCACCAACCTCCCCATCCCGTCGTCCGTCCATCATTTATCCCTTCGAATAAGCACTATTTAAAATAACACGCCGAGACACCATAGGAAGTTAAGAACGGAGTATCCTACCCGTCTAGAAAAGAGCCACCACAAGACTCCCTAACCATGGATATAATAGGTATATCTGAGCATAAATCTCAGCAATATACCACCCATAACCCAGTTGCCTCACTCCTTAACCCCATTTATTTCCACCTACCCAACCGCTTAATAAATCACCACAATTATCTCGTCAACGATATCTTTATAGTCGCGATGCATGTTCACCCCGAATATATCCCTGATGATAAACGCTATAAAAATAGTTGGTCAGCCGCCCGCAACGCAAAACTAGCCATGGTATCAGTCATAGAACTGCCAACGATTATGCCAAGTGCAATCCTATGATGGCGTATCTGGGCGAGCGCTTCGCATTATCTTATTGAAGAAACCACGCCCAGGACCTAACCCTGATCGACCCTTTTTCTCAGGAGCGGCGGCATCAGGAGTTGATTTAGGAGGGACGGATCCTGCCCCTTTTTTCGGCATTGCATCATGGCTCAGATGCTCGTCTTCGGAATCGAGAAAATCGTATTCCGACATAGAGACCTTGTCCGCGGCTCGTTTGTAATCAGCAGAGTCTGGACCAGGCTTGCCCATACCGGCACCCTTTCCGGCTTCTTGCATCTTAGCAATCCCACGTTCCAAGGGAGCTACCATAGGTCCTTTAATAGCCCAATTCCCGTCTGGTTCACGATCCGCCGCCTCTCTGTATAGTTCCGGCTCTCTCTTTTCGAATTCATGCTCAATTTCTTTCTGGTGCTTTGACGTAGCCTCGATGCGCTCACTCTTGACCGCTGGCATGAGATCAGTTGTTTGCACTCTATCTTCCCCTTCAAGAAGTTTGAGCCAATCATCGTATTTCTTATGGCTGTCCTTCTGTAATAATATTGTAAGTATAACAACCACTAGTGCGATCTGCATTTGAACTTACCCTCTTCTCGCACGAAGTTTCCTGTAGGCTAGCAAGATACTCTTTTGCGCTGCTTTTAGTATTCTTGCCTATGATGTATTTATCGAATGACTGCGAGAATTCCCGGAAGTGGCCTTTAAGGACAAAACATTGGCCGGTCCAACCTTTGCTCTTAAGTTTCTGAAGAAGCGCGTCTGCAACGGGTGTCTCCCAAGGATACTCGACTACCTTGTCATAAAATACGACGCATTTGCTCGCGTACCAATTATTAAATGAGTCGCGGCTTTTCTCGTCTGGAAGTGACCTTTCGATCATTTCCATAGTGGCTCGTGTCACGAAAGAAGCGGGTGCTCTGAAGTTGATTGCGCCATGAATGTGAGACTGGGCATATTCAGCCGGCGAGCGGAGGTCAATTATCACAATCTGATCCTCGGGGAATATCTCTAGCAATCTGTTAAGGTGGCCTGGAAGAATCATCTGAGCTCCAAGGTTAGGAGGCTCCCTGCTTTGGTCATCTATCTTTAAGTTTTGCAATCGATTCTCAACTTCTTGTTGCTCTCGCCGGTTTTCGAACCAAGTCTGAATTATGTGAGTCCAACTACTATGTTCGGTAATATTAAGGGGTAACACTTACGTCAATTTCTGCGGTCTCTACGCCCAGGGTTGACGCGAGAAATTCCCTAACGGCAATGGTCGGTAACGGGTTACCCTGGAAATATTCTTCTAGTCGCGCCTGTGCATGAGGTGGGAGTTCAGGTTGGCTGGCTACAGATGCTAGTGATGTTCTCCGCATGTTCCGGGGTTTATTGATGGCCAGGTGCTGCGCTATATTGTTATAAGACATGCTCTTATGTAGTGAGGCGCCCGGAATAGTGCGTTGCCTCGATGGCCATCCCCCACTAGACATCTGGTGGCCCTTAGAGAATGCATTCATCGCAGGGCGGTAGCCTCGGGATGTGGTATCGGGCATCGAGCCTTCAGCTCTTCTATACATCGGGTCCATCGACGTCCTCTCATTTGAAAGGGCCGACATTATTGATAACCTGCCAGACTCTAACGGTCTAGAGGTGTACGCTGTGGTCCCTGAATAGATTGACCTTAAATCTGCATCATTATCGGCACTCGTCGGTACTTCTTCCTCCAATTGCCTTGGCTCATTGTGACCACGAGCAGCTAAGTTGTTAGACCGAATGAAGGCCACGAAGTTGCAAGCATGGTTATCCGGAAGTAGGTCCCAAACCATTACAGGCATTGACAACAGCAGTAGCGTCGAGTGACTCTTGAACACCCCTTGGATCTTAACATACTTTGCTAGTGCTGGAATGCTCGAAAGCCAGTGTTCCCAGTCATGGATATTGAGACGTTGATCCTCCTCGAGAGCGAGAGAAATCATTACATGTGGTACGTCTTCATTTGGCTCCGACCCAACGATCTCTTGTGGGCCGGCTGATCGACCGTTGAGAGAAGTTGATTCGAAGCCTGGCTCCTGGGGTGGGGAAGGCGGCCGTACATCCGCCGATAGCATCTGGGCTATCTCGATACTCGGTGCTTTATGGTTGGCGGTCATCATAAAGTGTACCGGTGTAGCACGCGCCTCGAAATGCTTGCCGTTCAACATCTCGGGTCTCGGATGCTTGAGGCGCGCGAGAACCTCAGCGTGGAGCATTGCCGCGGAAAAGGTTCTTCGTTTCCAATCTTGTAGTACTTCGATTAGGGTGTTGGTAAACGAGTATCTCCCTGGATCGGGTGCAATAGCATCCCAACTAGAGGCTGATATCGTTTCTGTGATGCTATTACCATTAGGAAACGTAGCACTTGCGGCCCCTGCACAACAATCCAATAAAATAAGAACATCCGATAGAGATCGTTCCAACAAGGTTTGAATCGCGGACCATCTACACGTAGGTTAGAGTTACCACACACATGCGATCCATATAGGGCTTAGCATGATATAGGCTTACTGTAGCCATGGAGAGTCTGAATTTCGAGTTCTGGTTTGAGAATTAGCATACCAAATAAGGGGGTACAAGAGTAATAGTTTAGCAACGCACCCGCACCATGTGCTTTGCCTCGATTCATCGATCCTTGCGTGGCCGCCATAATAAATGATGAACAGCGTATCACTTGATTCATGTTCTTTTATCATGGCACCAATTTTCATCATCAGCTCGAGGTGCGCATTATCGGACGGTATCGAAAAAGTTTCGGTTTGGAACCCGTAGTCCTCCTTAAGACAGGCATCCAGGTCATCGAGCTCTTTCAGGACGAACAAGTCGTCGCACGTCCAGTGAAGAAGGAGCACTTGTACTTTCTTGTACCTCTGTGAGCCTCCCCGGTTGGGGAAAGCTCGCATAGCCGACTATCAGGGTAGGGCTGTTAGTACTACGATAGCAAACATGGAGGATTGAATAAAATAGAATAACTAGAGAAAAAGGTCATAACGCACATCCTCGAGTGTCTTGGCGAATTCGGGTAGATGCTTGACGTGGTAGTCCACCCGACTGATGTCGTGCGTGGCTGCTGGCGTCTTTTCATCCTCAATGCTAGAACCATACTGAGAAGATGCAATTAGACGAGATCGAGCTTGAGGCCTGGCTGTCTTTTTATCTCGACGTACGGCAGAATCACCACTGCTGAAACTATGTCCGTCCCCCGTAGCCGTAGGCTGCCATTCACTTATCGTAACGAATGGCCGACTATCACCCATGATCGCATACGCTTGTGCAGATCAACCAAATAGAATCGCGACGGGGAAGGAGATGAGAGGGAGGGCGGAGAGGATTATAGTTAAAACGTCAAGGAAGAACAACGAAATAATCGTAGGACAACGTTCTTTACATGACTCTGCGGCACCGCATGGCGGATGGATGAGAGTCTGAACTGGCTGTTGGCTCGGCTGGCTGGCTGGCGGGCTGGCTGAAGGTATGTTAGGTAGGTATGTATGTATGTATGTAAATGGATAAGCTTGAACGAGCTGGAACTCGGACTTGGTGGAATTCAATCAATCACACACTTGAGCAAAAAGGAAAGTAGCACATAAGAGGGGGAATATTTCCGGTGCTCACTCGAGCTATCAGGGAACCCAAGAAGGCTTTCTTCTACCGAAGAAGCAACTGGGGGTGGGGATTGGAAAGGGACGCCTTTGCGACGGGAGACGGAACAACTGGCAAACGGCAACGGGCAATGAGAACGACGGGCTGAAGATGAATCTGAAGGATGATGGTTGTCCCAAAGTGTTAAGATGAGCGCCCCTCGGTAGCGAAATGCGGTTTAGCGGCATCGCCCGCGGTGAACCAATTCGGTGCGAAACGCCTCGTCCAAATTTCCCTCTTTTCCCTTATTATTATTGGTTAAAAACATCATGCTTGTGTCGGCTTGTGCCTGGTTGTGCCTGCTTTTGCCTGCTTTAGATAACGTACTTATAGTCATCTTAGG